ACTGAATATTCTCCTGTGCCCATGTAATAAACTGCTGTTTCATCTGAAAATAATATTTGGTGTATTGGGTGATGGGAAGGCAAAAGGTGAAAGTGCAAATGTTGCATTTCTTGTGCTTGCATGGCAAGGTGCTGCAGGAAGGTGAGTGGTTTATTAAGTGTGTCAGAAAGGAACAGTCCCTTAGCCATGCTTAGGGGGCAGAGTGGAGGAGACTAATTGTTTAATGATGGCATCTCTGTGGATACAATTGAACTGTGAGGCTCGTGGGGTGGAAAGGGAGAACAAAGGAAACCCAGTCATAAATCCTGAAAAAGGGAGCAAATTTGCAGAAGACGGAATAGATACAGCTAAGGACCTTGTCAACTGAGAGGTAAGGGAATTTTCAGTCGAGGATAAAGGAAAACATATTGGAAATGCTTATATGGGAGGTGGCATTATCAGAACAGGTAACAGAGGCAGACATTGGGAGAAATAGCCTCTACAGGGAGCAGGGTGGGAAAAAGTCTGGCCAAGGAAGCAGTAGGAGTCATCAAACTTTATAATGAATATTGATCAACAGCTTATCCCAAGAAATGGAGCCTGAAGAGTTGAGGGATGAGGAACAAGTCAGAAACTGACATTTCAAGGCAAGGGAAAATGTGGAAATGGGAAGGAAATTTGACATTTGAAAGAAAAAATCCCTTCTCTCCAAAGAGTAGCAGTTAATGGTACACTTATAGCACTAACTGTAGACATTCTTCCTGTCATGAGCAAAGATAACAATTGTGAGGAGGCACAGTACCAATGATTGATGGAATAATGAGTGCACAAATAAAACCTAAAAACTGTGTGCAATTATATATCATTCTTGTCCTGATCATTTTACAGCATTTTTTGGCACCATGGTGGAACAAATTCCTAGTATATTCTTGAGAGAATAAAAACAAAAGTGAAATAGTAATCTCAAATTTCACTTCACATAATGCTGTTAATAATTTGGCTAAATTAGGCATTCTTGCAGTAAATATAAATAAAATTTACTAGCCTAATAGGTCCTATTTGTAATAAACTGAGAATTATGGGTTTGAGTAATGCTAGGGACAAGAAACATAGCTAAAAATAAAGACTGAGGAGGCAGAGTGGAGGAGATCATTTGTTTAATGACGGCATTTCTGTGGATACAGTTGAACTCTGAGGTTGGTGGGGTGGAAGGTGAGGACAAAGGAAACCCAATCATAAATCCTGGAAAGGATAGGGATGTGGGATTGGGGCCTGGGTAGTGGGAAGAGGTGGGAGCAAATTTGCAGAAGATGGAATAGATACAGCAAAAAGTGAAATAATGTTGGGAAAAAAACTTGCATTCATTCAGCAAAACTGATTACACTTCAGATCTTAAAATGTTTGCATTTGGTAAAATTACCATACATTGACATGGTATGGAGCCAAACTGCAGATACATACAATAAAAAATATTAGATGAGCAGTTTACCAACGGTGCTTTCTCGGGAGGAATGCCCAGGATGTAGATACACTCTGAAAAGTACCAAGCAATCTTCCAAGACCGCTATAACAACTATTGCAACAACTTATTCAAAGGATACAAGCTCCCAAGAAGTTTTGAACAGAAGGTTGCTACTTTCAGATTTGAAGGCAACCATATGTTCGACCAAGTCAACTTAAGGACTACATTGACCACAACACCACAAAATCCTGTCACGGCAACCTCTGCAAGACATGTCAGATCATCAACATGAACACCACCCACCACATACACAGCAGATATTTATGTGACTCAACCAATGTTGTCCCTTGCATACGCTACAGGCAAGGATGCCCTGAAGCACAGTATTTTGGTGAAACCATGCAGACGCTATGACAACCAATGAATGGACACTGTGCAACAATCACCAGACAGAAATGTTCCCTTCCAGTCAGGAACACCTCAGCAATCAAGGGCATTCAGCCTCCCATCTTCAGGTAAGCGTACTCCAAGGTGGACTTTGATATACACAACAACACAGAATCGCCAAGCAGTGACTGTTAGCCAAGTTTTGTACCCACAAAGATGGCCTCAACCGTGATCTTGGGTTCGTGTCACATTACAGGTGACCCCACCATACTGTTCCGTATCTGTAAAATCTTCCTTACTGTCCTGTTTTGACAGCATCAACTTGATAAATTGTTATGATCTCTCTCCCTTAATTAGTTTGTAGTTTTGAATTTGGCATGCAATTCCAGTCATTTAGCTCGTCTCCAGCACCACCTTATTTTTAATTTTTGCAATTATCTCTCTACCTAAATTAAACAGACTTTAGGTTATCCCCTTGCTTGTTATTGAGCTGTTGACACTTTACTCACCGTCTAACACTCTTGGTCACCTGCAGGGACTTCTCACCTGACACTCCACTCACACCCATTATATGATCTTTTGATCTCTCTACCTGTACATCCGGAGTCTGTGTGCTCTGCTGTCTCACTGCACCTGAAGTAGGGGGTGCTGTCCAAAAGCTTGCGTGATTTCAAATAAACCTGTTAGACTATAACCTAGTATCATGTGACTTCTCACTTTGAACACCCCAGTCCAACACCGGCACCTCCACAACCTGTTCCTTCACTGTCAAGGAGTCAAAATCCTGGAACTCACTTTGTAACAGTACAATGGGAATCCTTAGACCCCAAGGTTTTTAGTAATTCAAGGAGTTCTGCAGTGCAATTATGAATGGGCAATTAATACAGGCCTGACTAGCAACATCCTATTTCCATAAATGAATAAGTAAAAACTATCATCCATAAAGTACCATTTGTGGAAGAGTTCCAAACATCTACCATCCTTTATGTATAGAAATGCTCCTAACATCTCTCACGAACAATCTGGCCCTAATTTTCAGACAATGCTCCCTACTTCTAGAATCCCCCAACCAGTGGAAATAGGTTATCTTTATCTATGCTGTCTTTTACTGTTAATATCTTGAAGACTTTGATCAGATCACACTTTAACCTTCTAAATTCTTTAAAAAAGGCCTAATTTATATAATCTCTCCTCATAACTTGACCCCTAAAGTCCAGATATCATTCTTGAAAACCTATGCTGTACTCCCTCCATGGTGAATATATCATCCCTAAGGTGTGGTGTCGAGATCTGCTCAGTGCTCCAAGCTGGGTCTAACCAGGGTTTTGTATAACTACAACATAACTTCTGCATCCTCGTACTCCAGTCCTTCAAAGGCCAACATTTCGTTACCTTCATTATTTTCAACACCTGACATTTTAAAGATCATGCACCAAAATCCCAAGTCTCTTTATATAACTTCATACTATATAGAAAGTATCATGAGTCATCCGTTTTGGACTGAAAAGCATAACCCCACACTTGCGTATATTGAACTCCATCTGCTACAGTTTTGGTGATTAATTTGGTGTATCAGCATCTCCTTGCAACTTAATGCTATCTACATGGTACACAATGCCACCTAACTTTGAGTCATGTATCCAAATTTGCTGATGACAATCTATGCCATTTACAACTTGGATGAGGCAAATAATTATGGCCCTAATACAAATCCTTGCAGAACACCACTGGTCACATTCTGCCAATTAGAGCACCTACCCATTATCCCTGCTGCCATCTATCACTCAACCATTTGCCCAGCCATATCAGTAATTTTCCCCCAATGCAGTGGTCATCTACCTTAGTTAAGAATTTCTTATGTGGGACTATATCAAATGCCTTCAGGAAGTTCATATAAACAAGATCCATGGACATCTCCCTGTCCACGACCTTAGCCACCTCTTCAAACAATTGAATGAGGTTTGTCTGGCATGATTTATTCATTCATTCATGGGATAAGGGCATTGCTGGCTAAGTCAGCATTTATTGCCCACCCTAATTGTCCAGAAGGCAATTAAGAGTCAGTCACATGACTTTTCATTAATCTATCTTGGTTATCCTTGATTTAACTGAAATTTTTCAACATGTACAATCATCCCATCCTTGATTAGACTCCCAACAATTTCCCCACCACAGATGTTAGGCTAACTGGTCTGTAATTCCCTGGTTTGCTTTTTAAAGATGGGTGAAAGAGGGACAACATCTGAATCTAGGAAACTCTGAAAGATTATCGTTAGGACATCTACAACATGCTTCCCTTTAAAAGAAACCATCGGTCTTGGGAATTATTCACTCTTCAATTCCATTAATTTCCTCATTACACTGGTCTACTTACATTTTAGTATTTTATCCAGTCCCTGCTCCCAATCCACTAATTACCTTGGACTTCCAGGAAGCTATCTTCCTTTTCACAACCATTTCACAGCACTTATTCACATTTTCCCCACTTTCAGTCCCTAGTGGGCCAACATTGCTACTAATCACCGGATTTCCTACCTAACTACAAAATTTCTTATTGCTTTTGATGACACGGGTAAGTTTTCTTTCATAATTCCTTTTATTAACTCTTAGAAGCCGCTTTGCTGGTCTTTGTATCTTGCCTATTCAGTAGGGTCTGCATTGTTTATTTTTTTGAATTTTTCTAAGCCTCTTTTGTTTTATGCTGTTCCTTATCTCTTTAGCCGTCCATGTGTGTTTTTCTGTGAAACAGAAATTTTCCTTCTCTGTGGTAGGAATCTAAATGAATACAGCAAAGTTAGTGCTGTATCAAGTTTCCAATGGTGTAAAAGCTTTAGCAATATTCGGTAGGTCCACAATACTTAATTCGAAAGCTTAAAATATCCAGTCAGATGTATTGTGTGTAATCATGTGACACAGTAAATCCTCTCCCATGTTTTACATGGAAATCCCGTACATTTTAACTTTGAAGTGATTTCTCCTCTTAGTGCTTGTGAAGTGTTATATTCTGAGATACACCAATTTATCTCCAAATTATTAAAAGTTTATAAAGAAAAATATAAGGAATGTGTACAAGAAAAATGTTGAGTCAATAAATGTAAGTGAAATGCAAATGATAAGCGTGAATTTACTCATGATGCAAATTTTTAATGAACAAAACACAGCATAATCTATCTGCAAGAAAAACGTTTATTCCTTGTAAACCCCACAGAAAGAGAATGCAGCCAAGACCAGTTATATAAAGAAAAGTGCCAAAGTGGCAACAAGGGGAATCGGAGGTGTTATTAATTTCAACACAAAAAAAGTCAGTGACAATACTCCATGTTCTGCACAATGCTCAAATAATCCATGAGACAATTTTTTGCAACAATTTTATGATGACAATTACAGAAGGTGATTCAAAAATCCAAAATGACAGCCAAAACCATACAGATTTGGCAGAAGCCAATATCCTGTAAAAAAATGAAGTAAACTTTGCAATTTTTGCTGGTTGCAACAGAGTTATGTCTTTAAGAACCTGATTCAGCATTTAAACAGGGTCTTTATTTTGAACAGAGGGACTACATCAGTCAAACACAAAAACTTTAGAAAAGTAAAACTGGGAATAGCTAATCCACTTAGGATCTACTGCAAGCACACAAAGTGTTCGTATTACAGCCCAGGACTCAAATATTGAACCTTGAGAGCAATGGAGCGAGAAGTTTGGATCACAATATTCACTGCATACTTTTGAAGACTTTAGAATATTTTAAAATGCTGCAACGTTGCTACTAAATTACCATGTGTATAAAAGGCAACATCTGCAAAGATGGACAAAATCCCCAAGGTTACAAAGGTAGCTCTTGACCAGAGGACACAAATTTATTTGGATGTGTTACAATTTTACTTGAACCACAATTATAGGTGTAGGTGTGGCTAATATTGTTTGAGGTCTTTTTCAACTAGATTGGGATAGTACCACAAAATAATCAATACTCTAAATATTGCAGAATAAAATCTTAAAACAAATGCTTTTGTCAATGTAAATGTATTTCATTGTAACTTATCAAGCCAATCATTTTATATAGGCAGCTGAACAGTTATTTCCAATGTACATACTTATGAATTTGAAATTTCAAGACAGCTTGTTAGATTAAAATGTCAGGCATTGTGGAGTGGTCTTCTCTGTAGCACTAAATGTTATATGTTTACAGGGAGAGATGTTTAGAAGGCATGGACTAATGAAGGTCACAGTATTGTATCCTTTTGATAAGTATGAATCAGAATTTGAATCAAGATTAGAGCTTTTCTGACCATAGATTTCCCAGCCTATTGCTAGCCCTGAATTATTACATTCCTGTCAATTACTATATAGCTAACTAGGAGCAATGTTGCAATTCAGTGTGTAAACCTCTCCACATTTTTATTCTGGTGCAGAATGAATCGGTTTTAGACATTTGCAAACAAGCAAAAATTCCACTGGACAGAATAAAAAAAGCTCTATAGTTTGGATTGCCCACCCCCCAAAAAAATCAGTGATTTGGAGGAAAAAGTAAGTTCAAATATTATACATCTTGTATCATTATGGCACTCAAAACATTCAGTCAGGAAGAAATCATGAAATTTGGAAATAATCAGCTCAATTTTTGCTTCTTACACAAGTTTGTGAGAAAAAATATGCATTTCTGGAAGCAATTTCAGATTGTATCCATTTTTAGAAAATAAATGTCCTCCATATAATTACAAACTAAAGTGCGTGAATTTTTTTAACAAAGAAGTTCTGATGCGTTGCATATAGGGATTTAAACAAAATTTTAACAAGAGGTTGAGATCTGCCAAATTCTCACTTGTTTTCAAAATTAGTTTCATTAAATTGCATACTGGATGGGACATGGACTGGGGAAAAACAGGTGTTTGAGTTTGTCATGCCCTTCTGGAAGCATATTTTGTTGGACAGTCAAAGGGATCAAGAGTCAACCATCAATCATACTCAATTTTGGTGCACAAAAAATAAAAGGTTTTATATTAGCGGACTGGGCAAAATGCAAAATGCAAGATGCATTAGTGAACAGTTTCGCGTTGCCCAAACCCTTGATCTTATACATACAACTAGCCAAGATGAATTGCTCACTTTAAGCACCTTTTACATACCATCAAATGGCTGTAACCATTTCAAAATTTAAAAAAAAAATTGTGCAATTTGGTAACGCGTTTCTCCGAACACTTTTTAAAAATCTTTCTTGGCACAACAAAATTGGATTATAATTTTCAGCTAATAGGATGTATTTAAACAAAATCAGATTATGTCCTAGCACGGCAGAAAAATACTGAAACAAAGCATTCACCGGCAAATCTACAACCTGTACTATATCCTTTGCACAAAGTCAGGTTCCCCTTTCCTTATTGCACTCAGAACAATCACATTCTAGTATACTGTTAAAGGTAATGACAATGTAATTGCTTCATGGAAAATAAAAAAAAAGTTACTGTTTTGCTCTCGAGGACTTGCACTATATGTCTGCACTGGGTCTGGATATATGCACTAGAAATTACTTTCAGGATAAAATTTACATTTCAAGTAATCTGTAATCCAAGTTCTACAGGGTATAACAAATATCCAACAAAAAACAGACCATTCTGAAAGTGAAGACTGATCTTTAAACAAAGATTTAAATAATGCCTGTCTTTAACCATGATAAAGAATGATCACTTATACCATTAATTTTGAGTGGATCTAGTACAGTCCAATTTGCAGTCAGAGCTAATGTATTTGAATAGAATGAAAATGTGTTCAATTAAAAACACTGCTCAACAGAAGTGAAAATGAAAAGTATTCAACTCTGTTGCTGACCTGTGCAAAAAAACAAAAACAAGTCATGTAATACTTCTTGTTTAAAATTAGGCAGCACTGACAAGCATACAAAAAAAATGTGTCAATAACTCAGTCATATAAAGCATAACACTTATTCATGTGTATCAAGTTGTCTTCTCTAGAGATATACTTAAAGGTCTGATTTGAACCGTGAATATTGCAAAGAATGAATGCATTACTGAAGAAGATGTGGTTTCCTCTGGATACAAATTTTGAAGGCACTGTAATCATTACTTTTTGTTTTGAAAGAGTTCCCAAATATATTTACTCTTAATCACAAGATTTTGTTAAAAGTTGTCATCCATTAAAGCCTAAAACATTGCTTCAAACTTCGTTTGGTCTAAAGGTATAGGGAAGTTATACATGAAACTTTCCAGAATACTTGAAAAATGTTCATTAAATCTGAACATTGTGGTTAATTGAGAATTATCACAGTAGAGTTTTCACTGTAGAACAGAAGTACCCAGGTTTTCAAAATAAGCAATTTTAAGAAGTAATTTGGTAGTAAATTTAACTAACCAGTTACTCTCACACTTACACCTTAATGATTTGTCCATGTAAGAATGAAATGGCACGTCAAATAATTGGTTTCCTCCTCTATAAATATTACTTCAACAGCTAGGTGATACACTGCCATTTGTTTATGCCTTTAACTATTTAACTCTCAAGATTTGATGCAGGTTTAATAAATCACAGTACACCTGGCATACCACAGTATTATATCTTGGAATCCAAAACAGAGTTAGTTATGTGAAATTATCTATTAGCCATTCAAGTTACCCAGCTAAATGATGAAAGAAATTTACCTCTACAAAACGGTATTTATAAAGTTAGATAGATTCTTGATTGACAAGGGGATCAAAGGGTGCAAAGAGTAGATAGGAAAGTGGGATTCAGATTGCAATCAGATCAGCCATGATCTTATTAAATGGCATAAAAGGCTCAAAGGTCTAAATAGCCTACTCCTGTTACTAATTTGTATGTCCATGTGTGTGTATGCATGCACCATTTTACCCAAGTCCTTTTGGAAAATAACACAGTAGTCAACTACACAGCATAACAAAGATGACATTATGCCAGCTCAAATACCCAAACCATTCAACTCACTTTTCATCTTTAGCCATTTCAAGTAACAGTTACTTCTACTCAACTATTGAACATCTCATCATAATTTGTCCAGGAATAGTGACAAATATATCCTATAACAACTATTCATATCTCAATAGCATACTGATTGGCAAGTCATCAACTACAAATTTAATCCCACAGAATAGCGTGCATTTGGACACTTAAGAGTGGAAGGAGGAGACAGGAAGCCATTAAAGTATTAGTATTGCAGATGTGGGAGTCATTAAAGGAGTAATGATGTTCCTCAGAACTTTATTAGGCTGGGCTTTCATTTCTCTCTCTTGGTATGTTTAGCTGCCATTTTGGATATCCTCTAACTGAGGATAGGAACAGCAAGTTAGAATACAACTAGTCCCAAATCACCAACTAAATTAGTCAACAAAAGGTGATTTAGTTTTCTATTTCCATGTCTAACTGGTACTGTACATATTCAAAACACACAAACTGAGAACACACCTTCCCAGTTACAATTTCTCGACATGGATAACTTGAAACTAAAACACTGCTCAATTTCAGGCACATAGTGACAAAGTCACTGTTTAAAAAGTACATGTTTTTTTATAATACTTAACAGCACCAGTTTGGCTTGGAGCTAGAAATGTAGGTTAGTTCTGAAGGTTGCAGGGACTGAGGCAAGTACAGTAAAATAGTTAAATTCACTGACTGATACACATGAACTTGTTGAGCAAATTTATTCAATGCTCTGAACTCCTACACTTGTGGTAGAACAGGTGGCATCGTATTCGACAGATTAAATGGGCCAACAGTGAAAGAGCTAGTCAGCAACAATGATTCAAAATCAATCTAAAATTTATTGCCATGTTTCCAACCCTGTCATTTTGCATGAATGTGGGTTCGCAGATCTGTTTTTTTTTTTAAAAAAAAAAAATCTCCAAGAGGAAACCAAATGAAAAATAAAAGGCAGAAAGAACCAAGGAAAAGTCACAATGCACTGACCAGACTTTCCAAAAAAAAAAACTGCGAAGTTCTGGGAGGTTTTCTAAAAATTTACAGGAAAGGAGAAGCCATCGGGCAGTTCTAGTCGACACCATGATGTCATTTTTTGTATTTTTGTTTTTTTGACTACAACTAGTACGTACAGTCACACGTTACATTGTCATCTTGACTGCAGAACACTCTTGCATGATGTCACCACATCGATAAAGTCTGGGAAAGGATGGGGGAGAAGGAAGGGCAGGAGAAAGAGGCGCACAGTCACTTCTTCATTGGCTGATAAACTGAGGCATTAGGATCAAGTCCTGAAGGGCTAGTCTCCACAAATTTGGAGGAATAATGTGGTGTCACAGGGCTCAGAGTGCTGGTTGCTCCTGTATATGCAATGCTGGGCATTACAGCCATGACCTCAGCAATTTTCTGTTTCAACTCCTTGATCTCCTGATCCTTCTGAATGATTTGCCCTGCAAAAGATAACATATACAATTAAGATCAGAAAATGTTCAGAAGTCCAAAGAATTAAAGTTTATGCACAATAATTTATCAATTCCTTGCATTCCAGTTAAAAGTCTGTTTCAGAATTTAAGTAGAATCAACTACATTATTTTGAAATAAATATAGGTATTTGTCATTTTTAAATTAAATAAAAGCCTATCCCCTTTATTTGTAGAATAAGGGGCAGTTGTGGCGTCACTGGCTATAGAAATCTGGATGCAAACAATGATTATCTTTAGTCACTCTTCACACCAGCACTCTTTCTTATTCTACAATGTTCCATTTTGTTGAACAGAACATTAAGTAGCGAGCAGATACAGTACATCCTTAGTAACAGCTCAAAAGATGGTAATATTCATGGAATAATTTTAGTGAAATTTCTGGGCTTTGATGGAGAAATTTCCATTGTAAGATTACTAAATGGACAACTGTAAGTAAACTATTTGTTGTAAATATTTGATGTATTTATGTGATGGGGGCGGGGGTAGAATGAAATGCAGAGCCAGCTTTCAGGGACAAACAAAAAAAATCAGGAAAAGGGAATGCGAGAGAATCCATGCACTAGTTGAATAAGGTGACGACGTTTAAAGTCTGTGGGAAAGTGTTCAAATAAACACTCAAGTGCATGTAAAAAAAAATAAAACAAACTGGTGGCTCTCCTGCACACAAAATCTTTTCATATATGTCAATACATCCTGGTCTCAAGAACATAAAACAATTGCACAAATAAAACTTTTGAACTCAAACAAACAGCTTACTATTTAACAGGGATGAATGGAGGACAGGCCGAGTAGGAAACAGAAAAGGACGGGGTGGGGAGAAAAGGGCATGCAAGGGAGAGGCGAAGAATGGGGAAAAGAGATTGGGTGGGGGGTGAAGAAAGAAAGTGGTTGAACAATCGTGTTATCAAGGGGAGATTAATAAGAGTTGGGGCAGGAAAGGAAGATGATGGAGCAGGTTAGCAGGGAAGAGGGGAGGGGATGTGGCATGTCCAATATGACTCTTCTTTGGAACTCCAGAAGAATGATACAGGTCTTGACGAGTTAATTTTTTTTCTCTTAAGGCAGCCGAGTTTCTCCAGCATTTTCTGCTTTTATTTAAAATAACAGGCAACTGGATGACGAGACTCCTGCTTACACATCACATCTCTTCAGTCTAAAGTGGTCTCCCAGCTCCTGTTGAGTTCTCCACATATAGAGGAGACTGCATTTTGAGCAAATACACTACTCAAAATTGAAAGTGAAAGCAAATTGTTGTTTCAGCTGAACTGAACGTTTGGGTCCTTGATTACAGGAAGGAAAGAGTTAAAAAAGGCAAGTGTTGTGTCTCCTGTGCTTACACACGAAGGTATTGGGGGAAAGGAAAGGCAGCACAAAGAATGATAGAGGAGTAGATTAGATTAGATTGCTTTAGGGAATAGTCTCTTTAGAATGTTGAATGTGGAGGGAAGGGAAGAAGTGATTGTCGGCTGCTGAAATGAAAGATATACTGAAGGTAGAAGGTGGAGGGATGGAAAGGAAGGCAGAAAGAATGGACCAAGAGGGAAGGAATGAGAGAAGTAGTTTGGGAAAATGTGAAGGTCAAGGTCAAGAACCTGTCAACAACAGTGGAGGGAACCTTCGGATGTCAAAAATGGTAGACAGATTCAATACACTTGTTTGGAAGGGGGCATTGTCAAGCTCCACACTTACTTCGATAGTCAGATGTACCCCTAATCACTGCAGTAACCTTTTGCTTCATTCAGAATTCTTACTTCAGTTATGCTCCTCCCATTGGATTCTTATCCTCTAGACCTTTTCACTGGATACTGCCAGTGTGACATAACCAGTCTCAACTTTTCTACTCCATTCATTTATATTAGTTTACTTTCTTCTCTTGGGTCCACTCTTAACATTGTCATTTAAGCTGTTGTCAAGAACTGCCCACCAGTGCCATCCAACACCCTCTGACTGAAATGCTCAGATGTTAAACAAATTCTCCTTTGATTTCACTTATTTCCAATAAAATGTGTTGCTCAGTGAAACCACGCAAGTCCTAGCTATGCCCATCTTTGTTCCAGTCCTAGGTTTGGTGCCTTCAGTTGCCTCTTTGCCCACATAACAGTGATGATTGCAATTTGACAAATGCTGCTCTTTTCCCAACAGGAAAGTGGCATCAATTTTGATTTCAAATTTTCACTCATTCTCCATCTTTACACGATCCATCTCTGACCCTACCCTTTCTCAGCTTCTCTATATCCATTTCTGGCTATATTCATCAATATTCACAGTAAACCTACTGACTCCCAGTACTACCTCCCAACCAGCTTCCATAAGTGACACTATTATGTTTGCCTAGGTACCCCATTGCACTAAGCCGATGAAGCCACCTTTCATTACCAAGCTTCTGGCATATCTTTTGCTTTACTCAATTGAAGATTCCCCCTCCCTGATTTCCCTGACTGTCGCTGTTTTCTGACCACCATTCTCAGAACCACACTAGGGTTCTCTTGTTCTCACTTGTTGCCTAATTGCCTCCATATTCAATGGATTATTGTCCACTACTCCCATCACCTCAAACATGATGGCAGCACCAAATACCAAATTTTAAAACACATCTTCCTATCTCCTATATTACCATCATATGCAAAGACAGATGTGCTTTTACCTCCTGTCTTCCAATTGTTTCAGAACCTCAAACAATCCGATTGATTATCGTGTGTACCGAAGTACAGTGAAAAGCTTTGTTTATGAGCGGTACAGGCAGATCATAGTAAGCAAAGGATGTACAGATCAAAAAGACTGACAGAGGCATACAGATTACATTGCATAGGGCATATGCTAAAACAAGATTATCGTTAGCAAGATCAGTGTTATTTGATGCTACAGAGTCCATTCAGCAGTCTGATAACAACTGGAAAGAAGCGGTTCCTGAACTTGCTCATGCATGTGTTCAACCTTCTGTATCTTCTGCCTGACAGAAGAGGTTGTCGGGCACAATGGGTCTTTGGTGATGTGGCAGCAAGCCATGTAAATGGAGTCCACGGATGAAAGGCTGGCTTCCGTGATGGTCTGGGCTGTGCATACAACTTTCTGTAGTTTATTACGGTCCTGGGCAGAGCAGCTGCCATACCAGGCAGTTATGCATCCGGACAGTATGCTTTCCGTGGGATCTTATGAACATGCCAAACTTCCTGAGCAGTCTGTGGAAGAAAAGGTGTTGTTCTGCCTCCTCGACTGTCACATCTATGTGGAAAGTCCAAGACAGGTTTGTCAGTTATTGTCATGCCGAGAAACACGATGTTCTTCACTCTCTCAATCTCAGTTCCGTTGATGTACAGGGGTGTGTTCTCTTCCTTTCTTTCTGAAAGAAGTGATCAGTTCTCTAGTTTTGCTAATGTTTAGAGACAGATTGTTTCCACTGCACGACGTCACCAAGCCCTCTAACAATGACGAATCAAACTACAGAAGGGAGATAGATATTTGTCCCACTACAGTAATGTCGTCAGCGAACTTGTAGATGGCATTCGTTTGGAATTTAGCAGCGCAGTTGTGGGTGTTCAGGAAGTATAGTAGGGGGCTGAGGATGCATCCTCTGAGGGGCTCCAGTGTTAAGAGTTAGTGTGGAGGAGGTGCAGTTACCTATCTTCACTGATTGTGGCCTGTGGGTCAGAAAGCTAAGGATCCAGTTGCAGAGGGCGGAGCTGAGACCAGGATCATGGAGTTCTGAGATCAGTCTGGAGGAGGTAATGGCGTTGAAGGTGGAGCTGTAGTCAACAAGCAGGAGTCTGACATAGGTGTCTTTGATGTCCAAGGGATGAGTGCTGGGCTAGGGATATGTCATCTTCTGTGGACCTGTTAAGTCAGTAGGCAAATTGTAGGGGATCAAGTGAAGCAACACGTTTACTTGCGCTTTTGAATTTTACACACTGCATTGTGAATAGCAAATACAGTGCAGATTCAGTGATTGCTTTGTGGAACACTCCACCTAGTCTACAAGTATGACCTGAGTTTTAGGTTGCCTGTCATTTTAATTTTCCGTTCCACATCAAACATTGTCCTCAACTTCCTACACACTTTCAATAAGATTCAAAATAAGCTGGAGGAATCATCTTCAGTCAGGCATATGACAGCCTTCTGGACAGCATTGTTCAATTACTTCAGATAATAACCAATGACCCCACTTTTTCAGATGGTATGTAAATGATTCTACACCACCTTCTGCCTTACATCATCTCCCTTTCGTCATTACATTTCTCCTGCCTTCCACACCAAAAAAAGTTTCTTTTGCTCTTTTCCCGCTCACCTGCGTTTGCTTAAAAGCAGTTGCATCCCTAATTTTTTTTCATTTCTGATGCAAAGTCACTGGCCTGAAACATTCATTGTTTTCCTCTGCACAGATGTTGCCTGATCTGTTAAGTACTTCAGTATTTTCTGTCTTTAATAGCATGAACATACACGTTCTTCAGTGCCTTTCTAGTCAGCCTTCCTAAGTTCAACTCATTAAGCAAGCATGCAAACTACCAGGATGCTGGGTCCACTATGAAAAACATATGCAAACTTTGGTTAATAATACTTAGAATGAAGCCATGCAGCTTTCTGACTGGTTTCTTACCTTGTGCAATTTCCAGCTGCCGTTTAGCATCCCCTAGTGCAGAGAAGAGATCTAGCTTGATCCGGGTCTCAGCACTCAGGCTATTTTCTAAGTGCTGTGTTTTATCTTGCATGGCTGAAAGTGCCGACATCAGTACCTCTGTATCTTTTTCATTCTCTTTATATTTACGCAGTTCCTTCAGAAGTTTAAAAAGAGTACAACTGCTAAGGACATGTAAACCACGCCTCAAACCCAATAAATGCAAAATATGGATGGTAATCTGAGACGGACACTGAAAACGGTAGAGAAAGTCAGCAAGTCAGGCAACATCTGCGGAGGGAGAAACAGAGTTTCTGAACTGGTTCTGAAGAAGTGATATTGTACTCAAAATGTTAACTTGGTTTCTTTCACTCTCTCCGCAGATTCTGCCAGACCCGCTAGGTTTCTCCAGCATTTTTGGAATTTGTTTCAAACCCAATAAGCTTACCACTAGCTCTACATTAATTTTTCACTTACGCATACTGCATATAACACTTCCCGCTTTCTCTGAAACAGGCAGCATATTTACTAGTTATATGAAGCTATTCAGACATATTAGCTGTGTTCTGATATTTTGATCATGTGATCAATTTTACAACTTTAGTCAGTGAATTTTAGCAGATTAATCAGGGATTTTTTTTGGCACAAAGCAGAATATTTTGGAATTCCAGCATCTACAAGAACAAAAAAAAATGTTGGAAATACTTAGCAGCAACATCAAGAAACAGAACTGATCTCTCAAATCAATGACCTTTGATCAACAGCTACCTCTGTTTCTCTCTCCATAGATGCTGCTTAATCTGCTGCATATTTCCAGCATTCTTGTTATTAAGTTTTTTGGCAGGGGTTGAGGGAGATATGAATGAGAAAGTTAATACTATTCTAGCCCATCAGCTACTGTGTTACAGCTACTCTTAAAACCTTGAAGATGATAATTGCAATTTAGACATATACAAATATATAACTTAATTGTCTTTAAATCATGATTAGCTATCTCATGTTGCACTGGATATTACATAAGCCATAAATTTACCTGTACTTTCATCTCTAGTTCACGAATCTGGTCTTCTTTGACTTTCATGTCAATTGTTAACTTCTTGCACTCTGTTTCCAGGTCTCGAATACGACTTCTTAGAGTTTCTGTACATTCCCCTCTTAAAAAAAAGAAAATGGTGTTAAATCCTTCATTTTCTGCACACATGTATGCAAGCCTTTCTGGTTGTTAGGCAGCAAAGGGAGTTAATACCTTAGATCTGGGAGATTATGCCCCAGAACTTGATCATTGGAGCGTGGAACTAATAAATTTATTATATTAGAATTTTAGTGGTGGAAAAAAGTTTTGATTCCTGTATCATCAGGTTAGATGGGAGGGAGAAAATGGAATGCTTACAAGATGTTTAAAGTGTTTTGCTGGTGTTAAGACAGGGCTCATTTATCATTGAGTAAACAATAGAATACCAAGCTACTCAGATTTTCGATATGCCAAGGGTTAAATGCAGATTAAAAAGGTTTCTTCCTATCTGATGGTCCTTGTCACATCCTGGGATAATGACTACCAAGGGTAATTTTGCAAACCAGCCAGCCATTCACAGAGCACACAAGTAAAGATCTGAATCAAAGTTGTTCTTGCCTAATAGGATTCAGATTGAGATTGAGATTAAGGCATTCCTGTAGTTTGAATCAGCCACTATGAAGCATGCAAACATTGAATTATTGCACTCCACTGAAGAGAAATTCCTAACTTCTCCTCATCGCCTTTTGAAGTCAGAGTGCTGCATCACTAGCAAGAATATCATCGTATAGCAGTGGGTTTAGAGTGATGCCTGTTAATGATGTTGTTATCAGGTCTAAATAAAGATTTTGTATCTTTAGTTTGCAGTAATTGATAGGTCTTATGCAAACTTTGCTGTCTGACCTTGTAGCTGCAGCAAGTGCCACAGCACGGGCTGCAGTTGCCTCCTCCAGCTTCTTCCTCTTCTTCTCGTCCACCAACTGTTTTTCAAGGTAGGTCTTTGCCTCTTGCTCTGCTTTGAGTTTCTTCTCTAACTGGCTTATAGTTTGTTTGTCCTTCTGTTTGGCTTGCACAGCAGTATGTAATCTGGAAAGAAATTAAATTTACAAATGAAGAACTTGAACTATAGCCAAACTAAGAACCAGTAAACCCACATGAAAAGACAACAGTTCCAATCAAAGTTTGCTTAGATTTTTCACTGAAAAAGGGAATCAGGGGTTTGTCACCCTACCACTAAAACAGCAAAACAATCATACTTTTTATTAAAAAGTATCAACGGAATTTATTATTTCAGCATCTGGAAGAATGTTACAAATGTGTTCTTAAAAACAATTTTCACAATTTATGCAAACAGGTCATTATTGTTGTCACTCTGGAAATTTGATAGAAATTCAAAACAAGATCTGCCAAAAATTAACCTAGCATAATCCAATTCAAAAGATTTAACCTTCTGTAAAGGTTATTGTATCCTATATCTCCATTTTCAAAATTTTATATTATGAACTGGTCTTCGAGAACTAGACAGCATAATCTCGTAGCCGGGGATTATCTGTTTAAGACAGATGAGGAGAATTGGGCGTCTCAGATGGTAATGAATCTGAGGAATTCTTTAGTACAGAGGGCTGTTGAGACTGAGTCATTAAGTATATTCAAGGCTGGGATAGAAAGAATTCTAATCAGTAAGAGAATCAAGGGTCATGGGGATAAGGCAGGAAAGTGGAGTTGAGGATTATCAAACCAGCTATGATCTCATTAAATGGTTGAGTGGACTAAATGGGCCAAATGGCCTACTTCTGTTCCTAAATTATACAGTCTAACATGCGAATTGGGAGAAGTAGTCCATTTGGCCCTTCAGGTCCTTTCAGTCATTCAACAAGATCTCAGCTAATCTGTTTGCATTCCGAATTCCACATTCCCATCTACCCCCCAACTACCTTTGAATCCCTTACCTAAATTAAAAGCAAAGTACTGCAGACGTTGGAGATCTTAAATGTAAACAAAAAAATGCTAGAGAAAATCAACAGGTCTGGCAGCATCTGTAGAAAGAGAAACAGAGTTAACATTCTGAAACCAATGACTTCTCAGGAGGTTCCGTGCCCAACAAAAATCTAACTTTGCCTTAAAAATACTCAACGTCCCAGCCTCCATTGATGTCCAAAGCAGAGAGTTCCAAAGTCAAACAACACTCAGAAGAAAGGTTTGTCTCATTGGCCCTAAAACAGCAAACACATTTTAAAAGTGCTCCCTAGTTTGGACTCAAGAGGACACATCCATTCTAAATATTTTAAATATATGCATAAAAATTTCACAAAATATTAAATATCTTACTTGTTCTGTAGCAGTTCATTCTCCTGTCGGAGTTGTCCTACTTCTGAACGGATACTACGTTCAGTGCTGGTCAGTGAGTTGATCTGACTGCGCAGCTCCTGTTCACACTGTCTGCTTGACTGCAAGTCTGCCTTCAGCTTCTTGATGTCCTGTTCCAGCCTGAAAAAAGCAAAATCACCAGTGCAAAATCACTAATGCTGCTCACAGGATAGAGGGGGGCATCTAAGTTGAACAAGCTTCCATATGGAGGGCTGATTCTGCTCATTTGAGTTAAAGAAATGACAGTAACAGCCTTTGTGAAAACAGTTGGCTCATAGTTCTGATCAGAGTGTGTGAACATTTTGGATCTCTGCTCCTGCTCTGTAGGAAGTTACACCGGTTGTGTACGTGTACAATACTCCGTAAGCCATGAAACAAAAATAGAATGGGTCCATGAATCCTTTACAAGTCATTTTGTAGCATCTGTTTACACAGATTTCAGAAATTAACTGGCAAAATGGAAAGGATTGGTTGAGATTTTGTCTTGGTTGGTATCAGTCTTTGAATCCAATTGACCATGTAATTAGCAAGGAATACTTAGAAATCCTGGGAGTAAAAAAACTCCTGTATATTCACAACTCAAATACTAAAAATATGCAGCAATTCCAGCACACGCTACAGCAGCTACAAAACAGTGATCAGATATTAAAGGGTCCAAAGAAAGTATACAAAATTTAGTTAGGAGCATAAACACTTCTGAAATGTTTATCTTCATAAAAAAAGTGACACGTCCTCTCATTTGTTATCAGATATTGTGTATTTTGGATTATATGTAATCATCTGTCCATGATGAGCACAAAACTGCCAATGCCTCCCAATTGATTAGCATGAAACTAACCAAAAATATGCTCTCAACATTTTGGCCAAATTTTGTATGCCTGTTTTTAAATATAATTGGCACAATAAATGCAAGGCATATATGGTAAGTAACAAAAACAGACTTTGCTGGAAAAGCTCAGCAGGTCTGGCAGCATCTGTGGAGAAAAAAAAATCAGAGTTAATGTTTTGGGTCTGGTGACCCTTTCTCAGAACTTTTTTCATCACAGATGCTGCCAGACCTGCTGAGCTTTTCCAGCAGCTTTTGTTTTTGTCCCGATTTACAGCATCTGCAATTCTCTCAGTTTTTATACATGGTAAGTACTTGCCTATTAACCATTCCTGAGGACTTTTTTTTGAACAATTCAATTTTCTGGGATTTTCTGTTGAGCTTTAAATATTTGCTCTTTTATTAGAGAAAGTAAATTAGACCATCTATTGCTTCCTTTCAAATCATATCCTTTTACTTTTTCTAAAGAAAGGTGATTCTTTAGTCTTCCAATATGGCACAATATAATTCCAGTCCGGCAACACTCAAAGCTGTGCTTGAACTCAATTGCTCAAATCTGTTTCCTAAAACTTTTAATTGACAGGCCATAATGCATTCATAATCAAATATTAGAGGTGACAAGGCATTTTGCTGGTTCAACATGCCATCCATTTATGCAGAAATGGCTTTAAAAGGAACATGCAGGATTCAAATAACTTTTCTTATACAAATTCATCGCCACCAACAATTCATTTCAATCACTGCAAATACACTACACGTTATTGTCGTTCCGTTTCTTCCTTATTTTGTATTTGGGCATAACTCAGCTCTTATCTGATATTACAAACAAAGCCAATTTAAAAGATTTGGCAACCCACTGCTTTGATTGGTTTTTCTTAACCTTTTAATTTGAAAGCTGAATTTCTACTGCTTTAAAATGGCATCAGACACCAAGGTGAACAAGAGCCATTATGTTCAACCAGCCACCGAGACAACTATTCAAACAGTTTTCTGAGGCCTGCCTGATTTTTTGCTTCTCCTAGACTCATAAGGTGTGCAAAGAGTAATCTCTTAAAATAAAGACTGCACATTGATGTGATATAAAATGTGTTGTTGTATTCTGCTCTTTTTAGATCCACTGCAAGATAAAGTCTCGACTCACAAGCATTTGCCAAAACAATAACAAAATGTTGCAACATCTAAAGTAGAATTATTTGGAGCACATTTCAAGTATTCCTTTTTAAAACCACTAAACCTATTGACACCATGTCAGGTGTGTTTTTTTTATTCCAGCAGATAACTGCAAAAAATTCAGCTACTGGGCTGAAGAGGAACTTGAAGGGTTGAAACTCTCATTTTATAGTCACTGCTTTTTCCACTGGCTGGTTAAGCCACTTCAACACAAAATGGTAATACCAATAGGAGAGTGAAGAGATAATTAGACAGATACACTTTAGAAGGTAGCTCTACACTGCAAGTTAATGCATGAGGAGCACTGGATTTCTCTGGCACATTCAGCAGCCTCTCTCAAAATTACACAATGCTTATTGAAACATAGCTATTATTAGGAGTTTGTTGTGATACGCCCCCAATGACCAGAAAACATATCTTCTGCTTAAGTAGCAAAACCTGTAACTGCATTTAAGGACTTTGTCAGCATTATTCTTATCAAATGTAAATTATCTTCTACACCAGGAAAGCTTTCAGAATGTGCAATTAAGCAAAAGACGTGTGCGTTGCCAACACCAAGATGGCTAGAAAAACAGCCACCACCAGCAGGTGCACAGATGGTACCGGTGGTGATGTCAGAAAAGTGGAGCACTTTAGAAGTGCTTTGACAACACTGGAGGCAGCAGCTTTGTTTGCATTTTCTTTATAGCATTTAACCAGTATGAAGTAATAGGGCCTTAGCAGATTCGGGCTGTTTGAATGGATTTCTTCCATGGATTGGAGTTACTCCTCTCACCTCCAAATGAATAACTCTCCGCTCTGTGTCAGGCTTTGAGGTGATGCAGATCTCTCCGCAGAGACTGGTCATGTCAATAAGGCTCATCCTCCAGGCAATGTACAGGTAGACTCAAAAGGTTCAGAGAACTTTCAGTGAAACTCGTCTGCCTGGTTTTACAATGAGTGAAGATGGCTTGACCACAAATTTTACAATCTGCCCAAGAATAGGCACTCAGAAGTTTGATTCCAACCTGCAGCGTGATTAAATGGACAGCACCACGGTTGTTCCTGGCAAATGCCATGATGTGGTACTGTAATACTATATTTGTGCATAGCAATGACAATAAGTGCAGCCTTAAACAAATTGCCAGATGATTGCACCTCGCACTTCATAACTTTGTCAAATTCTATTTCACATGCCAGCCTGTCTTAGAGTCATAGAGATAAACAGCACGGAAACAAACCCTTTGGTCCAACTCGTTCATGTCAACTAGATATCCTGTACAAATCAGTCCCGTTTGCCAGCATTTGGCCCTGTACCTCTAATCCCTTCCTAATCACATACCTATCCAGAGGGCTTTTAAATGTTGTAATCGTACCAACCTCCACCACTTCTTCTGGCAGCTCATTCCATACACACACCACCCTCTGCGTGGAAAAGTTGCCCCTTAGATCTCTTAAATCCTTCCCATCCCATCTTAAACCTATGCCCTCTCGTTTTGGACTCCCCTACCTTGGGGACAAAAAAAAAACTTTGCTTATTTACTCTATTCATGCCCCTCATGATTTTATAAACCTCTATAAGGTCAGCCCTCAGCCTTTGACGCTCCAGGAAAAATAAAGGCATCTGAAAATGGGAAACAACGTTTGTCTTTTCCAACACAGGTGGCACAGCAGTTAGCACTGCTGCCTCTCAGCACCAGGAGCCTAGGTTTGACTCCAGTCTCAGGCAACTGTGTGTGGAGTTCACATATTCTCCCTGTGTCTACATGCATTTCCTTCCACTGTCCAAAGATATACAAGTTAGGGGAATTGGCCATGGGTTTTAAAAAAAATTGTCCCATACCGTCCAGGGACATGCAGGCTGGTGGGTTAGCCATGGTAAAACCTCAACGGATTGGATGCTCTTTGGAGAGTCGGTGGAGACTCGATGGTCTGAATGGTCTTTCTGTATTGTAGAGATTCTACAAATAAAAGATAGGAAAATCGTAGAATGGTCATTGTTCCAACAGATGAGACCAGTTGCTCCTTTTCACAAAATACGATGACATTAGCTTTTGAGTATTAGTTAGCTGGCAATGAATTGCCATAAAGTCCTGAAGTTTAGTCTCCACCCTTAACATTGAACAGTGCGAGATACAATTGAGAAATGCAGAAGAAAATAAAATCGAAATTTTCTGTAATAAAGAAATGAAGCTGCAATATTATTCACATCAGTGTTCAATTTTACATCACATATTTAAATAGATACAATGAATTCCATCCTTTAAACGCATCACTACTTGTGAATTTTTAAATATATACTACACGAGCACGAAGAAGAATTGTCCGAAAGCTAAATATTTTTTGTCTCAGCATAAAAGAACACAATGAATGGAGGAAATAGAACAAGAATAAATGCAAACTCTTTGAAATATAATATGCAGCTCTATGCATGCTTACATAAATTACATAATTGCAATAACTGAACAGTACTTTTTGGCACCTTCACTACGAAGCCTGGATATTAAACACAGGGATTAACTAAAAGGAACTTGCCTGACTGAGAACGTCTGCAAGTTAATAAAGGTGCACAGAGCATTTTCTTTTTGTAAAAAAAAATTTGTTCATGGCATGTGGACATTACTGACTAGATCAGCACTTATTACCCATCACTAATTGCCCCGATTGCTGACCTCGGAAACAAAAGATGGAAAACTTCAGGTCAGCCCAGAAACTTGCAAATATTGCCTCTGAAGAAGAGTCATCTAGACACGAAATGCTAGCTTGCTCTCCCTCCATGAATACTGTCTGACCCACTACAATCTCCAGCATTTGCTATTTTCAGTACAGGTTCCAGCATTTGCAGTAATTTTCTCGTGCCTGGTCTCACCTGACCTGACATATAAACTTAAGTCAGGAAAGTGTGAAATTGGGCACTTTCTGGGTTTCCAGGGTGCTCGATCCTGCGCATCAGACCTGGTTAAAATTGTTTAGTTACCTCAAAGTAATGAAACAGGTTTTCGGGCCTCATCTATTTTATACACTAAAGACAGCTCAGTTGGCTAGATAGTAGGAACTGCAGATGCTGGAGAATCCGAGACAACAAGGTGCAGAGCTGGATGAACACAGCAGGCCAAGCAGCATCATAGGAGCAAAAAGGCTGACG